TGGGGGATCGAGGGAGTGATGCTGCGCGACTTGGGCTGGGGCTCAAATTAAATCGATAGCCATGCTTAAATGTCGGCTAATGCAAAGCAAATAGCAAAACAATAAGATGCGGGGGAGGCTGGGGAGCGGGCAGGCCAGTGTCTGAAAGTCTGACTTGGAGCCGCCGCCTGCAAGCAACTGCGATAATTGCTATATGTCTAAGATACCCCTTGAAAGAGGTCTGGAATGGGTGTATTGGTTGTTTAAGAAGAATAGTTGTGCTTGGAACACATCTAGAGAACAAATGAAATCAACCCAAGTACATGTCGAATCGTAAGACTATTCGAACAACGAGATTGTTTTCAGTGTATCATATGCTGTGGTCTCCTTTACTTTTGCTGTTCTTTCTCCTATTATATTGCTGTACTCTGCTCGTGTTATTGTTGGGAGAGCGAGTGCATATTGAGTGAGACGCGCTCAGAGAGGATCTAAGATGCGTAGCGATAAGAGCTGTGCCCATGGTGTTGCTGAGTGCGAGAGGGAGGGAAAGGTGGGCCCATGAGCTTGGACTTAAAGAGGAGAGTGCAAAAATGAATTGCATAAGAAGTGGAAGTCAACTTGAGTTTTGACCTTGAAAGTCTTAGCACTCACCAAAGAATTACATGAATAGATGGGGGATATTAGTGGGAATCCAAGAACAGGCTCCAATCTAGAAGGAATAAACTTCTGCTTTGCTCCTACACTGGGTATCTACTAGTCCTGCCATCTTCAATGTCTCCGCGACTTGTTTGCGCTTGCATTAGAGCTACGTCTGGGCCTCAGTCTCGGTCTCGGTCTCTCTGAGTCACCCGCTTCGAGCCACCTGTGCGCCAGTGCCGTCGACGACGTCAGCTACAGCTTCAGAAATCAGCTTCAGCTTCAGAGTCAGTTCGAGGCAGCGATCGGCCACAGCTTTGGGGGCTCCAAGCTTGAGAGCTTAGCGCCAGGCAGCTGCACCTGCGCCAATCGCTAGCCAGCTGCTTGCTGCTTGCTGTTGCTGCTGTATGTTGTTGCTGTTGCAAATGCTGTTTTTGCTGCTGCTGTTGCTGCCACTTCAGCCCACTCTCGTGTCTGGCTGGTGCCGCTCTCTTTCTGGCTGCAGCTCCAGCTCGGCTCCAGCTTTACGTTTAGCTTTGAAATCAGCTCGACTTTTTCCAGCAATTAGCCTCCATCGTTGATCGTTGATGCCGCCGCTTTGCATTTAAATACCCTTTTGCAGAGGGGAGTGTTCTACTAAGAGATGTTGTATTTCCCAGATGTTTCTAAGACAGAGTGTAGCATTTACGATCGTTATAAGTGTGTGAATGTATTCCGGATGAACGCTTCCTCCAACTTCTATGTGTCTGAAATGTACCACAAGGACCTTATCCCATCTTGACGGTTTCCCATACATCCCCGCAAGATCTTCCACATTCGATGTCTACCTTCTATAGCTATAGCTGCCATATGATCGATCTGTTAGGGTAACTCAATCTTCGGCTCTTAAAGTAGCTAGCCTTTCTTTCTTGTTTTCTAATTACTCCATGACTTTATGCTGCTTCGTACCCAACTCTAACGCCAACGCCAACGGCGACTCGAACTCCAACTCCCAGTCTCCTGCCCCCAATCCGTCTTCGATCCGTAACCTTTTCAATTGTTTTTTGTATTTTTTTTTCCTTTGCCTTTGCGCAATTTTAAATTTAATTTTCAATTTCTTGTCGCTGCGTGTCAGTTCCGTTGGCATTTCAATTGAGTTATTTGCAGGCGAAACATTTCGTAAATGTTTTCCTCCAAACAAAAAAAACCCCCTAAACCTCTCCCACCCCACCAGCCTGTTGGTGTTTACGGGGGGAGATTGCTACAGTTTCGGTTTCAATTTCAGTTTGAGTTTCTGCCTCTGGTCTCTCGCCGGCTTCAGTTCCACTTGCAATTTTAATGGTCCCCGTTTCTGTTTTGCCTGTTTTGTTGCCTGAAAATTAGCGTCTAATTTGGCTTTTATCTTTTATGCAGTCGTAACTAATTATTTATATACAAAAAGAAAAATACGGCTCGAGTCGGGAATTGTTTTTTAAATGCGAAATTCGTTAGGCGACTTATCGCCGCCATTTGCCATTCAAAGTCTCTGTACTGAGATACCTACGTATTTATTCAAATTGAATTGTTCAGGTGGATATATGTATGGTCGAATGGTGTAGTAGTCCCTAAACTAGTTCCACTTTGCAGATATTTATCACTAATAAAAAAATTATTCAGGAAATCAGTTTAACACTTTTCTGACCTCCCAACTTATAACTTCCCCAAAGACTTGTTCTTGAATCTCTTATCTCATCTATAAGAATTACTTGTAGATAAAAGCTGTGGCATGTGCCAATTATGAGTGTACCTATTACTGGACCAAGATTGTATTAAAGATAAAAAGTTGAGTCTGTCAGGCGCATGCCAATTAAAATGCCACTGCTTAACGCTATTTTGATTGATTTTTCATCAAGGCGCTCGATAAGAAATCGTACAGAACCGTATTTAGAAGAAATATGAACATAAATTAAGCATAATGGAACTAGGTTTTGGAATAATAATTATTTTAAATTGAATTAAAATTCGTTGAAATAAATAAGTTTAAGCATTTCTGAGTATCTATCTGAGGTTCCAAGAAATACAGTTCAAGTGGGGATCGCACAACCTTTCTATCGCTGCATCGATCAATCGCAGTGCCCTCAAAAGGTGATTGAAATTGAAAACGAAACCGAAACGCCAACCACATGATTTACAGATCGTGTCGGCACGGGGCGTACGTTGTTTGCTGTCGGAAATTCAAGTGCACATTTCTCATTGATAACTCCGACGGATTCCGATTCGTTGGGTGCATGTAAACAGACGACGGGTGGGGGGGCTGATATCAATTAAAAGGGACTATAAATTGTCACTTTATCAATTGGGAAAGGCGTGCGACATCGCCTCGAATCCAGAACGCAAAATCCGTGCAAAAGTCAATTAATTTGTTGCTGTAGCCGGTGCTCATCGTTGTTTGCGCAATCGCACTAAATAAAATAAAAACAAATACATTACAAAAACAAAACAAAAACAATGTATGCGCAAAAAAAAAGCAAAAGCAAAAGCACTTGAGGCTCATATCAGAAGGCGGCGGCAATATGCCTCCAGGAGGAGGCAGGAGTAGGAGCAGAGGCAGAAGGGTAGAGGAGAGCCATAAATTCATCAGCCTAATTACAACGAACAAACACACACACACACACCACAACGCACTTAAAAGCAACAAAAAACGGAAAAGAAAAAGAACGTGCGCCAGCAGCAAGCAGATAAGAAAAGAGAGAACGAAACTACGTAATGAACCTTGGGACAGTCGCACGGAGGAGCCATATGCTTCTCGGTCGTGGATCGTAACTGCTCGTCGGTGCAACCACCTGTTGGACCATGGAATGGCTGAGGAATGGGGTTAACTGGGAAGTATACTAGTCACAACATACAACAGCAACAACAGCAACAGCAGCACAGCTGATAACGGGGGAAAAGCCTCGACTACTACGCCATGGACACCCCCCCACACCTTCGCCACTCGGTTTGGGGGACGCTCTGGCCATCTGGCAATGGAATGAACGGCCGCTCTTATCGCACGGCAGCAGGGGCCATGTGGGCGTAATGCGTAGCCGTGTCTGATAAGCCCCCACACACGCCAGGTACAGGTAGTGGGTACATACATAGGTGCGGTGCCAGGGTACTCAGAGTATTCTGAGTGCCATGGCACTTGGGTTTGCACCCAGAACTCTGACGCATGAGTATGCGTGTGAGTATGAGTCGTTTGTGGTCTATTTTAAAGAAAACTAGCCCCAAATTTGAGTGCAAACTGATAAATATTGTTTACACGCAGAGGGAAGTACGAGTATGAGGAACTGAAATTACTTTGCACCGGGAGATTGGCTCGGCTCGGCTATGGCAATAAAAGTGGCCCCAGAAGTGGCCACAGGTGTCTTCAGCTCAATCTGCGATCCATTCACATTATAGCCACCACACCACGCATGTGTCCGTCCGCCCTGCCACTCCACTCCACACCACTCCCGCTAGGTGTTGCCTTTAAGCGTATACTGCTATCAGAATGAGACCGCAGACATGTCATCATTTGAATTTGTAATCTGTTTTTTATCTGCTCACCTGTACGTACCTGTATAGTCTTTTTTCGTCAGCATTTTTCGTTTGTCGTTTGTCGTCTGGCCAAACTGGCTTAACATCGGGAGTCCGGTTTTTGGCTTTTGGTTTTGGCCTCTTTTTTTTTTGGTTGGTTTGGTCTACAGGTGTTTTGCACTAATCGAAAACTATTTTTTCCCGATAGTCACTCTAATTAATTTATGGCCCTCCCTCTCCTGGCACTCCAGAATGGAGGTTTCGGGTTCGAGATTGCGGAGTGCAAATGCTTTGATGGGGGCTAACCGGAAGCGTGCTAATTTTACGGCTATACCTCGATGGATGGTAATCAATGGATCAATGGATCGATGGACTGCTTGGGTATATTGAATGTTCGATATGAGTGGGAGAGTTGTTCGAATATGTATGTTAGATTAGGGATATCTATGCGTGTTGCTTGGTTGGTTGGTTGGAAATGATTTCTTTCACCTAATGAATGCAATAAAATTTGATTAATTTGTGTATTTGCTTTCATGTTCGCTAGAAATTTCCATTTGAAATGATGCTTGAATGAAATCATTGACAGTTATCAAGCAGGTCCAGCAGTTGTTATTGTTCTGGGGTGCCCTCGATCAAACTGTGAAAGCTCACTTTTCTGCTTGTCGATCAAGCAGTTTAGGCAGACGGAAAAATCCATTGGATATTTTGGTTTGAATGAAATCAATTAAAGACTCTTGAAGATTGTGTTTTATTACATTATTACAAATGAAACAAAAATTGAAAAAAATTTAAGAAAATGTAATTACAAAATAATTTATTTCTGGTATTTTCGTTTAGGTTCATAGTTTTTCTGTGTCTTGTCATTTCAGATTATTTTGCAGCTGATTAAAGTGATAAAATAATAATTTGTAGTGGATTCGCACTGGCTAACAGCAATCGAACAATAAATAAAAAAGTCGATTTGTGCTAAGTTGGAAAATGTTTTATCTTCTCAATTATCCAAATTTGGAACTACATTTCTACAATTGCAAGTATGGTGATTTAGGGTTATATTTTCTCCATCAAATGGGTTTTATAATTTAAATTAAAGTAATATTAATATCGAATTTATGACAGAATGAGATGAGTGCTTTCCAAACAGGTGTTGAGTGGCAGGTGCGTGATGGGCGTGGCACATAATCTAATTGCTGCAATGCGTGAATTTATGGACTCGCCACGTAATTTGTACGTACGTCGATTCGAGAGGGGTCGACAAATGTGCAAACAAACGTAATAATAACATCAGCCCGGGCCAACAACTCACACAACAGGGATGTGGCATACATGGCACTCACTCAAACACTCGAACCCAAAATGAGAGAGAGACACCCTTGGCCAACTGCCACACACACACAACTGCCACTGCACAGCCATCAACCGCATTTGGATCGCATCGAGGGGTTGATTCGATGTGTCAGCAAAGGAGTCAAGAGGTTTTGAATAAATTTAACACGACTTATAAGGCAGATGACAACATCCCAAACCCAAACCCAACCCAACCCCCACCCAAACACAAGCCAAAAGCGATGAGCCGACAAATGTTTTGTTTTGTATGTGGCACAGCAGCAGAGGGAATTACCGATATTCAGCAGATGTTTAAAACACAGTAAAGGAGGAATTTCCTTCCGGAAGTACATGTATTTTGGATCAGCAGCAGCAGTGGAGTTGCTAGCTGTTCTTCAGCTTATAAAAACTAGTCTTCAGATCAGTGTATCTTCTTCAAATAGGTCGGATCAGAGAAACAATGGATCCGCAAGTGTACCTAATGCTATGGCCAGGAAAAGTCACCCTTTTCCTTACCCTTCAGGATTTTGTATTTCAATTGAATTTCTGTTTGCATTGCCTTAATTTGTGCCGTTCATAGGCCATTTGTTCCAATTTATGTCATCATCAGGGGCATGGCGGCAGTACAGACCAGGCCGAAATGCTGTCAGCTGCTGGCAAAAAAAAAAAATAATAATAATATCTCGCTCATATCTCTCTCGAGAGGGGAAACAATAGCATTGGCAATAGCAACAGTAGAAGAGCCAAGAGACACACACACACACATGTTGGTATATTTTTGTTGAGGCGCATAGAAACCTATTGCCATGGCCACACAACAGACAACAGGTGTGCGGCTCATTTGAATGGGTGCGCTAAGACAAAAACAACAAAAACTGGCCAAGAGCAGAGACACATAACACACAGCCACAGCAGACCAGACCAGACCAGACCAGAAACAGTCAAGAGAGCCGCTGCCGTAACAACACAACAGCCGCCTGGCATTGTCATAACGCATACGTCATGTGGGCTACGGCTACGGCAACGGCAACGTCTTCCCGCCTTCGATGTGCTACACTCTCCTCCACTCCACTGGGGCTTATCTTGGCTTTTTGTGGGGCTTAATGGCCAAGACGTGTTCAACGCATTAACATTTGCCAAAAGCTTTAAAACTTTGTTTTAGATTTATACAATTTTTTTGTTTTTTTGCCTCGACTATTCCCTCACTTTGCTAGTGCAGCAAACCAATTCGAACGCTCGAAATGAAAATGTCCAACAAATATCCAACAATGTTACAACAAGAATAACAATAACCATTACGGCAATGGCTACGGCTACGGCTACAACATTGTATGTGGCTTGTTGAACATTTTGCGAGTTAGGTTTCGTGTCATTCAACGGCGAAGGCTGTCCGTCAGGCCAATCAGAGCGGTGGGGGCCAGACCTATGAACCATAAATTTGACTTTTGGAAGGCGAAGCCACGACGGGGAGGAAGGCAGCAGTTGGATCGGGCGAATGGTTTGTATTTGGGATTGGCGTTTAAAAGGATTTTCTATATGAAAATACAAGAAACTAAAGTTTCTTTGACTGAGCATGGAGTCTTTCTTTGACAAATGACACATCAAATATCTACTTGAGGAGATACTTACACAATTATTTCATAATACAAAATATTCCCCGTACCTCAAAAGCTAAAAACCTAATCAGAAATAAATCAAATACAAACGAAAACTAAAATTGATTTAAGCAAAGTCCACAAAATAAATATAAGCCAATGAGTTATTACTCGTTTAATTTATGGCAGTACTTGAAAACTTTCACTCTGATTTTATCAATCCGCAAGCAATCGACGGCAACATACGACTCGTGCACTTAGCGAAAGATTAAAGGAAACAAGTGAACAATTATCATAAGCCCCCCACAGATGGCTCTGACGGGGGGTTGGTGGAGCAACCCAGCATAAAGATTTGCTTTAGCAGGTTCTCGTAAATGTTTCCCTTTGAGATCGAACAGTTTAAAAGTCCTGTGTTGTTTCAGCTGCTATCAGCGAGGCATATGAATCAGTTGTAACAGCTGTGGCTTCTGTTCTCTTCTCTCCTGCTTCAGTCTTTAAATATCAGTCGGGGGATCGATCTCTCTCCTCTCCTGTCAACCTTCAAAGTTTTCCAGCAGCTGCATTAGTTGTGGGAGCTCTCTCTCTCTCGCTGCTGCGCGTGCTTCCTCATTAAACTGTCATCCCACTGCTCTTTATCTCTCTCTCTCTCTATCTCTCTCCCGCTTCCGATCAAGAGCCAAGCAGAGTCGCTTGTAAGCTGTGCGGGGGGTTTCGTTTAATAAGCAAATGGTCGGCCATTTTGTACAGGGCCCCACCCAGCACCAGCAGCGGCACCACCCGCACTTGCTGCCCCTCCCCCATGACAATTGATGCGCAAACAACAACAAAGATCTGAGTAATTACCTGGTCCACAACTCGTCCAGACCCATCATCCTATCCTCCCCCTCTCTGGCCAACCCTCTGCGAGGTGTCGGGGCAAGGTCGGCTCGGCTCTATCTACTCGTTGGCCGGTCGATAGCGCACAAATCAGGTGCATAACACCTGAGCAAATTAAACAAAAACAAAAAGAATGCCTAACGATCGCTGTGACGCCCGTCATTGGCAATGCGGGGCAACACAGCACAGCACTCAACGGTGGAACAGGTGGCTCTGCGGCTGCGAATGCGACTGTGGCTGTGGCTGTCACGCCCCATTGTGCGACGCCTCCTCTTGCACTCGGCATTTGGTCCGGACCCCGGACGTTATCAGCTATCAGCGACGCTTCCGCCGTCGCCCGGGTACACACACTCCGTCGCATCATCACTCCGATAAAGCCCCACCGACCGCCGGACGGACAGGCACCCGCCCGTCGCTACGGTCGTCCCTCGTTCGCAGGCCAGGCCATGCTTGGGGCCATACCATACCCCATTTGTTTTGCACTTGAATTTTGCGGCATTGTACGAGTATTTATAGTATTTATAGTCATGGTATGGGCTATGAGTGCGCCACGGGTACGGAGTACTCGTACTTGTACTCGTATTCGGATACTCCCACTGAAACACTCACTCACACATTTGTATGTAACTTCTATCGATGGGAGGCAGTGAGTGTTTGAGCAGCCTCCAGGCGATGGCGTGTAATTAATCCCCCACAGTACCCAGTGCTCGACGGAGTAGTCCTGGATGGGTATTGGGAATGTAATAAATATTGATTGATGGGAAACAAAAACAAAGTAAATATATCGAGAACTGAAGGGATTGTATATAGAACTACTTGGAGTTTCAGGGATAGGGTGCAGAACGGATTAGGATAAGATTCAATCTGATTATTAAAATTACTTGTGTAAAAATTAAAAATGATACAACAAAGTATCAAAAAATAAAATGATATCAAAATTAAAATCATATTTAATATCTATTTGATAACAGAAAAATTATAGGAATACCCAATGGACTTATCAGGCAAAGCTGACAAATTATAGGATTCCCCAATAAATTGATAACATGAATGGGGTAAGCCTGGCAGACGATAATATTTGAATAACACCACGAAACTTGATTAGCTTTTAATCAATTAAAAGGGATACACGTGGACTTTTGGAGACGTCCAATCGACATTAATCTGCATATCAAATTAAAAGAAAATTCTTTAAAATAAAATTTATTACCAATTTGCATTTAAAAGTGCGATTTAAAAACGCTTCATCAGCTGCAAGTAATAAAACAAAACAACAGGTTGAAACTATTTTTAATCGATTTAACTAGATTTTCAAATATTTTCAGAGCTGCAAGAATATTAAACCATGAACCAGTTTTAGCCATCCTCAAGTTAGGTGCCTGATTCGAATTATTTCAAGTGCATTCTTTGTTAATTTCAGGTTTATCCAAATAGTTTTTGTGGCTGATGGATTTTACGAGTGTATTTGTTCGCTTCAACGAGTATCTGTGGGTCGACTCATGGGCTTTCTGCTCTTATCACTCACAGCAGCAGCAGTTGTGGCAGTGTGTGGCAATGATTACTTCTGTTTTGCGGCTACTGCTGTGTTGATGACGCAGAAAACCCATCGCCCTCGTTTGGAAGAGTGACACTTGCACACACACATATGTATGTACATACATGCAGTATGCAACGCGTACAGTGCACTCTATTGCATTAGCTGGGTTGTCCATTTTTCTGTTTTTGGGCTTCGTTAATTGCCAAACAATCCACGCACTCGATTGGCGCTTGGCGCTTGGTGCTTGGCGCTTGGGGCTGGGGCTGTCAATAAAATGCACATATTATGCAGCTGCCGTCGAAACATGAAAAACAATTTAGAAATGCCACAAATCAGCGGCTCAATGACCGGCAAATGCGAATGCAACAGCGAAAGAGTTGCCAGATACCACAGATAGAGATACAAATGCAGATGCAGATACGAGTACAAAGGAGGTACAGGAGAGGCAGAGACGAGGCCCAGATACCTAAATGCAGAGGAGGGGCAGATACAAAATGTTGAAGGAGGAGCGCAGATACTCAAGGGTAGAGAAAAGAGAGGCAGACAGATACTCAAAGGTGTAGAGGCAAAGATACAGATGCAGAGATTCGGCTACATGGCCCGCAATCAATAAAAGCGAAATGCATTGAAACAGGTGCAAGAGGTGGCGGCGGCAGCGGCAGCCAAAAGGAGAAATGACAGGCCGCAGCGGCCTCCTCTG